CAGGGTTTATTATAACGTGCAGTTCTACACAAAATGTGCAGTTCGAAATCCATTTGTGCAGTTCTTAAAACACAAATGTGCAGTCACCAAACTAACAAAAATAGCCTTAATTAAAACAGTCTTCTCATTTATTCGTTACCCTTGTGGATGCTCCAGAAAATTCCAGAAATGCTGTTATTCATTGAGCATCAAAAATCTAAACGATTACTGGGGAAGACTCCAAACCCTCCTATTTTCCTTACAAATCACTATATATATATATATATATATATATATATATATATATATATATATATATATATATATATATATATATATATATATATATATATATATATATATATATATACGCGAGTTAGAAAATAATATAGCTATAATAAGTTCTTTGTATGTTTGCATGGTGATAAAATATAATAGGTTTTGTTTGTGGAAACACCACGTAAATTTATTACTGCAAAGCTTTCGATCCGTAAGCCCGGATCTTCATCAGTGCTAATAATATGTGACTTGTTTAATTCACACGCTCTTTTTATATACAAAAGTGTCGTGATCTGTTGGCTCGCGTCATTTGAAATTTAATTAAACGGCACATCAACCACGTCATTTCAAACGTAGTGAAGTGATTCCAATTAACGCGCGCGCATCCAAGACACAGAGTAGAGACATACAGAGACGTAACTAGTGTACCCACTTTTTTGTGCGCATGCTCGGCAAGTTACTATAGATGCATGCATCTGATTGGATGACGACCTGATGACGACTCACTTTAAACTTGCTGAGCACGCGCAGTTGATCATTTTTCGCCCGGTCGCCTGAAAAAAGTGGGTACATGATAACGTAATCTTCCGCAGTGTTTACAACGGTCAGTTACGTCTCTGTATGTCTTATCTACTCTGTGTCCAAGACAAGAGAAATTAATTTTGCACATTAAAGAGAGCACGCCACGTACTATCTAGTGGCTTTCCCTCCTGATCTATAGTATTGTGCTTCTCAATTTCAATTGACTCTCTCATTTTGCGAGAGAACTTATGACTATCAATCGCCAAAATGGTTGCTTCGTCCCATTTTATACGATGGTCGTAAGTCCAAGTATGTTTAGCCACAGCAGATTTATCTTGCTCGGCTTTCTCGCAATTCGTCTTGTGTTCCTTAAGACGTACTGAGAGATTTCGACCAGTTTCACCAATGTGAACCAGACCACATTCACAAGGAATGCGGTA